GGAAATGATTGAATGACTAAGCAAAGTGTCCCATGAAAATAGCAGTGATTGAATGTTTGTTTAAAGTCTAATTCAGGCTTAGCTACTGTTCTGTTCTGTTGTTTACCCCTATCCCCCATGCCTTCCCCTTCTTCATCTCCATTCCCTACCAAATTACTTTGCATCTCTGCACGTGTTATTTCTTCTAGGGTAAAATGTAAGCTCCTTGAGGGGAGGAACATTTAGCACAGTGCCTAGTATATAATAAATACTTAATAGATGCTTGTTAACTGATAGCAGTACAGCTCTGAGGAATCTGGTTCCCTGGGTGGCTTTGTATACGTATGGTCATCTGTGTTGTGTGTTTCTCTGGGGAAATTCTTGTTCTATGGAGGGTACTGCAGAGTGCTGGAGGTCTGAAGGCATAAAATAATATAAATAAAATAATAAAACAAAGGCATAAAATAAAAAGCATAAAATAAAGGATTAGGCAGAGAGGCAGTAGAAAGAGGACTGGCTCTCAGGAATCATAGGATCTGGGTTCAAAGCCTTTACAGCTCTAGACCAGTGACCCTATAAAAGCATTATGTCCTAAGATCTTCAATCTCTGCCCTGTTTTCTCAGGCATGCCTGGGCCAGAAGTCACAGAACCTTTATACTATGAGGTTGTGGGACACTGACACACACACACACACACACACGTGTGTGTGTGTGTGTGTACATATATATATATATATATTTTATCTCTAACTAGTTTGTGGGAGACTCTGCCTTATTATTTTTATTTCTCTCTCCTAGAGCTGTGCCTGTACATAGTAAGTGCTGTTGTCATTATTCAGTCATGTCCAACTCCTCCTGACCCCATAGATTATAGCACACCAGTGCTGACTGTGGGATTTTCCTGGCAAAGATACTGGAGTGGTTTGCCATTCTTTTTCCAGTGGATTAAGGCAAACAGAGGTGAAGTGAGTCACCCAGGATCACGCAGCTAGTTAGTGTCTGAGGCCAGATTTGAACTTAGGTCTTCCTGACTCCAGGTCCAGTGTTCTATCCGCTGAGCCACCTAGCTGTCTCCAATAGTAAATACTCAAGAGTATTTGTTGTAAAATGTAAAGCATGGTCCCTACCTTCAAGGAGTTTATGATTCATTGTAGAGATTGGCCAGGTTAGACATGGAGTTCTCTATTATATTCTTTCTGTTCTCATTTTCTTTTTGAAAATTTTAAAATTACTTTTGAATTATTATTTTACTATTTGAATTATTTTCTTATCATTTGAGGGAAATTAGTCAAGAATTGCCAGTGCTTAGAAAAATCACAATACAAAATGAAAGGTCATGAAGTTTAAAAAAATAAATACAATGAGATAATAATGAAATATTTCTTTTTCCACTTGTGTTGGCTCTGGTACTTTAGCTGATTCAATTGCCCAACAATACTTTAAATTGTATTAAATTCTTTGCTTTGCTCATTTAAAATTTTTGATAGGTTTTTATTTGTGTGTATATGTTCATTGGTTTTTTTTTAGCCATTTATCTTCTATTTAGTAGTTCTCTCTCTGTCTGTCTCTCTCTCTTTCTGTCACTTTCTTTTTCTCCTTCTCCCTCTCCCCTCTTTCTTTCTCTCTCCTTCTCTCTCTCCCTCTCGCCTCTCTCTTCTAGACTCTTACTAACTTTGTGACCTGGACAATTCCCTTAACTTAGCTCCTTAGGACTTACCTACTAAGTCAGGGGTGGGGAACCTTCAGCCTCAAAACCTCATGTGGCCCTCTAGGTCCTCAAGTGAGGCCCTTTGACTAAGTCCAAGTTTTATAGAACAAATCCTTTTATTAACGGGATTTGTTTTGTGAAGTTTGGACTCAGTCAAAGGGCCACACTTGAGGACCTAGAGGGCCACATGTGGCCTCGAGGCCACAGGTTTTCTACCCCTATACTAAATCATAGACAAGTTGTAATCTGTGTTGCTGGAGGGAGTTTCCACCCTGATAGTTCTGTTCTTTCAAAATCACAGATCCTTTGTGTTTCATTTTCTTTTTGTTTGTTTGTTTGTGCTTTTTATAAAAAGGCTGACTCCCTTAGATCCTATCACTCTGGTATCTTGGATTCATCTCAAGACATTAATTTTAATGAAATGTATCTGAAATCCCTTCTATTTTAGAACAACTACAAAAAATCCCCATGGTTATCTTCTAAAATATCCTACCTTTGATATCCACTTAATTGTAAATCAAAATTTTAAAAAGTGGTGCCCGCATGAAATCATTAGTTTTAAGGCAGTTAAGGAGGTCCTACACATAGAGGAAGGGTGCTTGAACTGTGGGATGATCAAATAGGCAATTACTGCCACAAATAACCCTAATGAGGGCATTGGGTTGTATTCCACTCTGAAGCAATGCAGGGATAGTAGATAAAACCAGTAAGAGTGAAACCTCTTTGCTGGTGTTCTTTTCGTTTGCTCGTTTTGTTAATTTTTAAAAATTTTGTTTTTCAATTAACAAGTATTTTTTTTTGTCCCTCTTATATCCTCTCCCCTTCAGTTCAAGAGAAAAAATAGCAGTTCCTGTAACAAATATGCATAGTCTAGTGGAATAATTTCCCATACTGTCCATGTCCAAAAATGAATGTCTCATTCTGAATCTTAAATCTATTATCATTCTTTTAGAAGGCAGGTAGCCTGCTTCGTCATTGGTTCTCTGAAATGGTTGTTGTATTGATTAGAGTTCTTAAGTCTTTCAAGGTTGTTTGTCTTTACAATGTTGTTGGGGCACCTATGTGGTGCTGTGGATAGAGCACTGGCCCTGGAGTCAGGAGCACTTGAGTTCAAATGTGGCCACAGAAACTTGACACTTACTAGATGTGTGACCTTAGGCCCCAAATGATTTGCCTTCCCTCCTACTCCCGCCACAAAAAAAAAAAAAATGTTGTTGTAGTAGTATAAATTGTTATCCTGGTTCTACTCACTTCGTTCTGCATTGGTCCATACAAATCTTCTGTGGCAAGTAAATACAATAAAGATAAACTGAGGTACATATTCAAAGCAAAAGTAGTTTATTAACAGTGATGCTTATAACTATTAACAAAGTGGGTCAGACTGGCTACCACATTATGGCCAGCAACCCCAGTGAGAACAGGGAGATCATTTTTATTAACACATAGGAATGGTTTGGGTAGTTGGAGAGCATTACAATTGGTTCCACTGGAAAAGTGGGTTGGCATTCAGGTGTGGCTAATAAAACCCATCTCTAACAATTAAGAAATGTTCATTGTTTTGTGGGACTCGTGCCTCTTGTAATCTTTGTTAGGAGATCAGAACTACCAGCTTTGGTCTCTCCTAATTACACAAGGATAGGCAAGGACAGACAACACGTCTTTTTTGGGGGAGGGGGCTGACACCAGGTTAAGCTGGTTGGGGCTTAAAGACAACAAGCAGATGTCCCAGGGGCTAACTGCATGAGCAATAACAACATTTCCTTTCAACTATGCCTTTAAACTTATTCAGACTAGAAATGTGGAAAGACCACATTTCTGAGCAAGATGAGTTCAGGCAGAAACTAACAATTTTACAGTAATACAGCATAAAATCAATTATGTTGTAGAATTAATACAGTAAAAATCAGAGGTAATATAAATTTTTATCTTGTCACTCCCAGGTATCTCTGGAACCACTCCTTTTTGTCATTTCTTGCAGCCCCATAGTATTCTATTACACTCACATACCATCATTTGTTCAGCCATTCCCCAACTGATGAGAACCCCTTTAGTTTCCTGCTCTTTGCCACTACAAAAAGGACTGCTAGAAATATTTTGGTGCATAAGGTTCTTGCTCCTCTTTCTTGGCTCTTGATGGCACATAGACCTAGTAGCAGTATCACTTGGTCAAAGAGTATATATAGTTTAGTAGTGCTTACTATGTGCCAGGTACTGCTAAGTTCTGAAAATAGAAAGAAATGCAAAAGATGGTCCCAAGCTCTTAAGGAGCTCACAACCTAACAAGGGAGACAAGATGCAAACAGTATGAATCAGTCTATCTATCTATCTATCTGTCTGTCTATCTATCGGATATGTATGTGTGTGTACATATTACATATACACACAGGAGATATATACATATAATGTATGTATATAAACATATACATACAGGAAAAATTGCAAGTAATCAGTGGAGGGAAGGCTAAAAAGGGGTCTTATAGAAGATGGGATTTTAGTTGGATTTTAGCTTGAAGGAAGCCAGGGAAGTGTGGAGATGAGGAGGTAGAAGATTCTAGGTATGGGAGACAGCCAGTGAAAATGCCCAGAGTCAGGAGATGAAGTGTCTTATTTGAAGAGCATTGAAGAGACTGGATCACAAAGTACATGGGGGTGGGGACTAAGGGTGAGGTAAGCCAGGTGAGGGCTTCTCCTAGGAGAACAGAGCAGAGCAGGGCTGGGTGGGTGGCTGTATCAGGTGTCCTATGGAAATTACTTGTACCTTGATCTGCTCTGTAAGCTATCAAAGATCCTACCCATAGAGTCACCCTAATGCGTGGGAGATGATAACTCTTACAAATTTGGCGATCAGCTGTGTCCTGGATAGTACCTTCAAAACGTTTTCTTAGACTCTCAGGCATGCCTATGTTAGAAAGACAATCAGCAACCCCAGGATTCTGACAGTTAACATTAACAGTTAATCCATTAGAATGGATCTAGAATGAGAGAGCCTAAATTTTTTATTGTTGTTGTTGTCATTGACCTGTCACAATGTTCTTATAGCTTAGGATTGGCTGATAGCCTCTTCATGCCAGTCTTGGACTTCTTATTTCTCTAGCTCCGCATTTTTCATCCTTACCATCAGGAGGGCAGACAGTTGGTCTCCCTTGTTTGCCAAGATTATAGCAACGGGTTTTATGTTTATTTTTCAATGCAGTACCACTTTGTGGCAATTAAGAGATCTTATTGTTCAGTATAGATCTTGTTATTCCAGCCCAGCTTTGGTTCAGAAGGTCTACTGATTTTGACATTCATTCTCCATTTCTTTATTTTTCAGAAAAATTATACCACAACTTTGAAGTCTAATGAAACTCTGCAATGGTGTTGGCATTCAGTGCTCCCCTTAGAATGCACTTCTCATTTTGTAAGAATCAGAAGTATGGTGGATGATGAAAGATTCCCAGAGTCTAGGATCTGGAGTTCCTGGAGCCCACCAGTGGTATCAAAGGGTAAGAAAAAAAAGGCTTTTAAAACATACTCTCCTAATATTAGGTAATTCATAGCCAGGTGGGTGTTCAAACTGATAACACTAGAGGTTTCCAAGGATCACAGGTCTAGAGCTGGAAGGGACCTCATTTTACAGATAAGGAAACTGAGGACCGAGGAAAGTAAGTGATTTGTCCAAGTTCACACAGGTAGGAAACATGAGAAGTAGAACTTGAACCCAATTGGTCACTTAACCCCTCTAATCCTCAATTACCTTGTGAAGATGTTAGGGAAACACTTTATAAACTGTGAAGCACCACATAAAAGTGAATTGTTAGCTTTGACATTTTTTTTTAATTGCTGCTGTTGTTATTATTATTCCATTTCTTCTGTGTTATTATTAAGGGGCCTCCAAAGACCTACCTATGCCCAAATCTTTCACTCACCATTAAAACCATTTCTTTAGGTTATGGCAGTTGATCTCTAGGAGAACTAAAATTTAAGTGTTATCTGGGAAGAACAAAGCACAAACCCATTAACACCCCATCAGGATTAGTTTGTCAAGTGAACTCACTTCAGAAAGTAGGACCTTGAAGGAGTAGAAGTCCATCCGTATACATTATTATAGGGCAATGTTGTTGGAGTTTTTGGGGAAAGTCTGGTGGATGAGATAGTTGTCTGAGAAGTGCAAGAAAGTCAGCTAGTGGGGAGCAGACAAGGGAGAGGGCTTGAGCAGCATGAAGATGCCAGTTACTGGTTACCTGGAGCCAGAAGCACGCTTAGCCTACTTCACACTTTCCTAGGGCCCAGCCCTGGGTAGCTATGTACCAGTAGCCACAGTAGAAACCTAAGACTTTTTGTCATTTTAATGGCTCCCTTGAACTCACTAGTATAATTTATCCAAATATGTAATAACTTTCATAACTTGCATATATTTATCCTACTAGTTTTCCAGGGTTTTTCCCCCTCTAATAGTTTAAATAAACAACATCCTTTCCTGTAAAGGGTAACTTGCTTCTTATAAACAGGAAACAGCTGGCCTAGGAAGTCAATGACAGGTTCAGGGTTGCCATGTCATCCTCTGAGGAATTTCATGTATTTGGTTAATGAGAAGAGTGATCGTATAGTTTCAAAATAGTTTTTAAAAATTATGATTTTCATTTGTCTTCAGCCCCCAACCTCCATTTCTTTGCAGAGGTGTGATATTCATGGGTAAAGAAAGAACAGTACATATGTCACATTTTTGATATATTAAATAATAATTTTGCTGATTCCCCCCCCAAAAAAAATCCTTTAGGGGAGGGATGCAGAGGGAAATCTTGGTGATGTAAAAATAAAAGATGACAATGAAAATCTATTAAAAGTTATGCTAAGTTTCTCTGACACAAATAAGCTGAATGATATAGATAGCACCCAACTCTTAGGGTTGTTGTGAGGCAATACATGTGAAGTGCTTTGCAAACCTTAAGGTGTATTATATAATGCACCTGTTATTATCATTTAACCCATTGGCATCATAGGCAAGTCTCTAAGACTATGTGTTACAGAAGAGTGGGCGGTCTGCATGAAGAGGGAGTTGTCCTACCTATAGTTTATTATATTGAGACATCACAGGTGGAGAATCCCTCTTTTTCCCCAGTTACTGAAATGTGTGTTAAATGCCTTATCGTTTCCCTTAGATGTCAGGCTAAAGTAAAAATGCTTTTATAGTTAAAATATTAATTTATAGTTCTTGAGTGTCTGCTTCTATCTGGGAAGATTAGAACAGAGTTTTGAAGTTTATTCATACTTAAATCAGAGCGTAAAGATATCAGCTAAGTTTAAAAAGATGCATTGTAAAATGTCAGTTTTGAATATTCTTTCACCCTCAACTTTAGGTCTATCCTAGGGAAATCATATCATCATTAATTCATTGTTTCATTTTTTTTTGATCCTCCTTCTAAGCTTTAAAACATATGATTAGCACTGTCATGCTTCTGGAAGGCTATAGAAAACACATCTCATCCATGTTGCTCATATCCCTAGGAAATGCTTAGCCAGTCAGCCATATTTATTAGGCACTTTCTATGGGCCAGGCTAAGCACTGTGCTAAGTGCTTTGTCAAAGAAGGTTTGTGTGGCTCCAACCTGTGTACTCTGTCTGCTTATGCTGACCTCACCTTGTCTATCATACCAGAACTCAATCTGGCCACTGCAGGCCATTGGATCAATGTCCATCATTTCCCAAACACCCATTATTGCAAGTAGGTGCCAGACAGGTGCTAACAACTGTTGCTCATGATGCATATGTGACTTGTTGGGAATGGGATACTTGCAGGCAGTTACCTGCTCATTGGATAGATTGCTGGACCTGAAGTCAGGAAGAACTGAGTTCAATCCTGACTCAGACCCTTATGAACTGTGGGAATCCTAGACAGGTAACTTTAACCTCTGTATGTCTCAGTTTACCCATCTGTAAAATGGGAATAATAATAGCACCTGCCTTCCAGGATGAGGTTCAAATGGGATAATATTTGTAAAGCACTTTGTAAATCTTAAAATGTCATATAAATTCTATAGTAAATATTTTTGTAATTACTATCATTATTATATGAAAGTATAATGTTGTTTGATTAGAACTTTCCCCCATTCTCCCTTTTCAAACTTGACAGACTGCCAACCACAGTGGTAAATGTTTAATTTATAAAGCAGTTATCCTGTTTACCTGAAAAGGGAACTGTTAAACAAAGTGATCAGTGGACCTAGAAATAAGGTCCATAAAGCCCAGTCACAGATGCAGCAATAGCTTTGTTTCCCAAGAAGTAATCGGAGAGGAAGAGGATGAGGGGGAGGGGGAGAAGAATTTATCCTTAAAATGCTTTGCTGATTTTGATAAGAAGTTCTTGCAGCTACAGCTTCCAGTTATCTTTGCCCAACTTTTCTTGCGTCTGTGATGCACCTTTAAAAGTAGTGAACACCAGCTCCTCCAGCTTCCTTCAGGGATCCTGGCTTACATCGCACCGGATGATGGTTAGATGCCCTGCCCTCCCATTTCAATGACAGGTAGTGAAGCATAGAATACCAGGCATGGAATCTCAGAGGACCTGAGTTCAAATCCTGGCTCTGACACTTTACTGGTGATGACGCTGGCAAGTTCTTTTTCTTCTCTGGGCCTCGGTTACCTTATACTGAAAGTGGAGGTAATAATTTGTATTCCCCACCCCACAGGGTGGTTGTGGGGAGAGTGTCTGTGTTGCAGTTTAATAGAGTTCCAGGAAGAAGTATGGGCTCTCGTTGTCACCATAGAATGTGCAGGAGATTCTGACTTGTTGATTTTTTTCTGTGTCTTATAGGGCAGGAATCCTCAGGCGAATTTCACATTTTCCCTAATGATATCATGTATGCTGAAGAAGATTCCAGTGTCACCTTTTGCTGCATTTCCAGAACAGATAATGATAAAATAGAGTTTTTTTATGAAGACAGATATATGCAGGGAATAAAACTGAGCTCCCGTACGACAATGTTTGAAGTGAAAAATGTTGCTTTTGTTAGGAGACAAGGGTCAAATGCCTATTGTAAGCTGGACTCTTCCATCGATGGTGTTGTCCTATATGTAGGAGGTAACGACCTGAATTTTGATTGTGTTTCTTTTTTTTTCTCCTATTCAGTGAAATATATTTCTTATATCAATTTTTCCAAAGGAAAAAATATATATATATTTTCATGGATAGCCTTGATATGCCATAATATTCCTCACTAAGAGACCAGCCTCTAGAAGATTTTTAGAAAGATTTCTTAGAGTGATACATCAGTTACCCCTGTCAAATAGTCAACAAAAGGTCATTTTTAAAAAGCCAGCACTATAAAAACATAAAAACTACAGATACTGCTATTAGTCAACCCCACTTGGTTCCTATAATAATTCCCATTTATTTCTACTCACTCAGAAGTAAAGTCAAGGCTCAGAAATGTGGCAGAAGAGAGACATGGAATCATAGGATGGAGAGTATCTTTGAATAATATGTCCTTCCTTCAATAGTTAGGATGTCTATCATCCATGTGAAGGAATCACTCATGGCTGGGCAGGCTAGTATGTCCATCTCTCCCCAACTTCCCAAGGCGAAATCAGAATGTTATAGAGTCCAGAGGTACAACATTCCAATTATTAACGATTCTCTCTAGCTGACAAATACATTAACACCTTTATACAGAAGCCTTTAGAAAATGCACTAAATGAACTTAACCCTAAGAAATGCTTACTTGGGGGCAGGCAGGTGGCACAGTGGATAGAGCACTGGCCCTGGAGTCAGGAGGACCTGAGTTCAAATCTAGCCTCAGATACTTACTAGCTGTGTGACCCTAGGCAAGTCACTTAACCTTGATTGCCTCAAAAAAAATTTTTTTAAGTGCTTAGTCAAATCAAGCTTGCATAGCTTTAACCTGAGGACCTACTTGCCTGAGCTTACCCTGTATTCCCTAATAACCCACAGACTCAGACTTTGGAACATCTGAACAAGAATTCTCCTCTACAAACATTCTCCAAAAGGGGTTGCATAGGCTTTGCTTGAAGACCTCTAGTAACAACAAATCTGCTCCCTTCAGTAGGGTAGCACATTTCACCTTTTCCCACCTCTAGTTATTTGGATGTTTCCCCTTTCATTTGCACTAAATCTGCCTCTTTGCAAATCCCACCTACTGGAACTAATTCTGCACCCTGGGATCAAGAGGAACACGTTTAATCCCTGAAGACAGCCATGATGTTTTCCCCCAAGTCATCTCTTCTGTAGGCTAGACATCCTCTGTTCCTTTAACTGATTTTCATATCAGGCGAACCCAATCCCCTTTGCCCCCAGCTCAATCAATCATCTACAAGCCACTTAGACCCATGGGCTATCATTTCTAGGGTATGCATACTTGCAGATGCCAGGCTACTCATAATGTTTCATGCAATGTATGTGGTGTTATGTGTTAGCACAGTATAGGCCAGCAGCTTTGCACTATTTTTGTTTCATGACCCCCACAACCACCACTACCACTACCTTCTTAACCCCTACTGCAGTTTCTGTGACACCATTTCCTTACTTCCCAACCATTAAGGGTCAGTAAGAAGTCCTTGCCGGAGTTGGGAGGCAAAAGACTTGGGATTTGAGTCTCCCCCACTGCCACCATCTGGGTGACTTTGAGCCAATGATTTCATTTCTCTGAGCCGCAGCTTGTTCATCAGCAAAATGGGAGTGTTAACATTGCCCCACCTTATCTCACAGGGTTGTGGTGAGAGGTAGGAACACATGTAAAAACGTTTTGTAACTGCAAATAGACTCCAACATTATTTTTTTGACTGAGATAAACAGTCTTATTTAGAGGTAGAGTAAGACCTGAAAATGACTGGGGTGAGAAAAGCCCAACAAGAAATGAGTTTCCAAGATGGCAGCCACATTATCTTATTCAAAGGAAATCTCTTTCTTAGTAGACAATAGACTGAATAGAGTAGACTGCAAAATCTACTAGTAGCTGTAGTTCTCATACCTCATAAAATTACCCATTATCTTAAGACTATCAGTCCCAGACCTCTTCCACATCCTTTTTTCTCGGACCTTAGAGATCCTTTCCTCACCTTCACTAGCCAACTTGGGCAAAGGGATTGGGAATGAGGTTGGGTCTTCCAGGCTATCTCCCCCCAGCACCATATGGTATCCAAGGCTTGATGGGAGGACTGAGGTGGTATGACTTTAGAAGAGGGCCTAGAATTCAGTCAGAGTCATTGCTGGAAGAGGAGGAGGAGGAGGAGGAAAAAGATTGCTTGTTATGCTTGCTCTGTTTATGTATTTTCTTATGAGCTTCCTTCATCTTCTTTCTCAGCTTCTCGTCCTTCACTATACCTGGCTCTACTACCCCTGTGGCAAAGGAATTCATAGAAAGTACATCAGGGCCAGGAAGTAGGTAGCATGTGTACCCCAGCTGTTGTCCCGGCTCAAAAGCATTACCAAAAAGATAAAGTGAATTCCCTAAGAATCCCCCTGGTGAAGGACGGAAGATACTGGAGGATATATAGGATCAGTTAATGTTGGGTGGATGGAGTTCGAACCTTCGGGCTACCTAGGGATATATGGGAACCTCGGGAGAGTCAATCCCTGACTGCCCTGTGGGAGTCAGACGTGCTCCGCGGTTCTGTTACTTCTTCTAGTCCCATGGCTGGGAATCCTTCTTCTTCCCCTACCCTTCCTCCCAGCATCTACTTCGTAGTCCCACCCCTCTCTATTCCAATATTCTTATTTTAGAACACTATGGGAAATGGGCTACATTATGACATCATTTTGGACAGTGTTACATGTAAATTTTCACTTTGAAGCTCACATTTGCTTCTTTTCTAATAGATACGTTAATAAATTCTGTGCTTGGCTTTACAGCCACATTACCAATCCATCATTAACATTTGCTACTCAGGGCTACACACACATGTCTCATTATTGCTCTGTCCTTTCATTCTGCTGTTCCTCGTTAGAAGGCCTTCATCTCCCAGGACCTACATGTGGTTTTATCTTGGGTTGCTGGGCTACATCCAACATTTATAACTTTTCTCGCTTTCTCACCTCCAAAGGACTCTCATTAGCCTGGGGCTGCATGTTTCCTAGAACAGGAAAAGCCATTCTTTTGCCTCACAATCACAACTGAAAAAAACTAATTTCCCAGGAGACCTAAGATGAGGTAAAGTCCAAACTCGCCTTTCCCTTAGTTCTGCACTGACATTACCTCCAGGGATGGGGAATCTTCAGCCTTGAGGCTACATGTGGCCCTCTACGTCCTGTTCTGTGAAGTTTGGATTTAGTCAAAGGGCTGCACTTGAGGACCTAGAAGGTCACATGTGGCCTCGAGGCCGCAGATTCCCCACACCCAATCCTAGATTCATAACATGGGCTATATTAAATCACAGAAGAATAATGATGCCCTCCTCCAAAGCCTCACTGTCAGTGGTGGTGACATGGATTGTCTACCAAGGTTAGGTACATTCGACCATACTAGAAAGACTTAAAAGGATGGTTCAGGCCGTGTACCATACCTGCTTTCTGAGGACCAGCCTAGCCAGATGTGGAGAGGCCTGTCATCAGTGGGCTGGCTACTTAGGGATGAATTCTTTGGCCATGGCAAAGAATGGAAAGAAGGAAAAATACAGTTGTACAGTAATTCACGGTTACCAAATGTGATACCAGTATGATCTCATTTGATCCTCATAACAACTCTGTAAGGTAGATAGGACAGGTGGTATTATCCTTCCATTTTACAGATGAGGAAACTGAGGGCTAGAGAGGTCAAATGATATTCCCAGGGTCATGCAGATAGGAGGGCACAGAGCTAGGACTCTAAGCTAGGTCTTATGAGTTCAGGTCTAGTGACTTTCCACTATTACTATACTGCTTCTATTCACAGTTTAGGATGAGTAGTCACCCCTATTTCCTACCTAGAGAGTAGAAAATCATTCTTATATTTATAGGAATATGATAGAGATTGGACCTGGAATGGCAGGCAACACGTGATCACTACCTATGGTCATTAATGAATTGGTGACTAATGGGATCACTCTGCATTCCAGGAGACTGATTGGTTTTTATTCAACTTCAGGGAAACAGTCTCTAAGTCTGTGCACTGTTGAGTATCATTACTAACACAACCTTCATGTCCCCTGTATTTAAAGGCTTCAGCCTTAGTTTTGCCAACAGGTTTTGTTTGTGCTTACAGGAGTACTTGAAGAGCCCAAGGATTTTTCTTGTCAAACTCGGGACTTAGAGACCTTGAACTGTACCTGGCATCCAGGAAGAGACACGTTATTGCCGGAGCATCTTCCAAACAATTACAGTTTATTTGAATGGCAAGTTATGTCTTTTAGTGGAAGCTTGGTAGTATTCCAGACCACCCTGTGCAGGATGCAAAGCTGAAAGCTTCCTTAAGTGTTACAGAGAGCTGAAACATATGCCAAATTGTCAGCCTCTAAAGGGTTACTGGTTTGTCCTGGCTCTGATCACAGTTTTGCTAAATCTAATGAGTAGAAAGAAAAGTTGCAAATCCAAGTGAGGACCCAATCTGATTCATGACTTAGATCTACCTGATTTCCTACTTTTCTTACAGTGGCATAATGCTTATAATTAATTAGAGAACTCTCTAAAATCTATGAAGTACTTTGTATCTATTGTCTCATTTGATTCCCACAAGAATCTTGTGGGATTGGCAGTACAGCCACCTCCATTTTGCTAATGACGAAACTGAGAATCATAGAGATTGAGTCATTTTCCCAAGGTCACAATTGTGAAAACCATGACTCAGGTCCAGATCTTCTTACTTTAAGTGTGGTGATCTCTGTGAAAATTACAAAGTTCTTTAACCAATAGAAAGTAAGGGAAGTCCTAACAATCCATGAGGACAAAACAGGAGGCACCTTATTGTTAAATGACTAACAGTTATATAGTGCTTTTCTCATTTGATCCTCACAACAACCCAGTGCTATTATTATCCTTATTTTATAGATAAGGAAACTGAGGCAGACACAGCTTAAGGAATAGGGTCATAGAGCTATTAAATGTCTGGTGTAGGATTTGATTTCAGATCTTGCTCATTTCCAGGCTCAGTGCTCTATCCAGTGTACCACTTCGTTGCCTCTGTAAAAATGTAAAATTTGCAAAAGTCAAATTGCTTGAAATTCTGTTTTTATTGTCCATAGTTTTCAGTGTGGGAATGACTGGACATCTGCCACTGCTCCCAGTAATACAATATGGAACATTCTGGATATGCTCCTTAGGCAGGAGCAGGTATGCTTTGACCAAAATGATATTATTGTCATTATTTATTTGTTTGTTTTAAAGGTTTTCCCAGAAAAAGGTTAATTGTGTTCACAGAAATTGGTGTGCCTGGCAACTAGCCCCAGACATGCAGGATACGTATAACTTCACACTGATGGCTGAAAATAAACTAAGAAAGAGAAGAACCAGCACTTTCTTTAATGTGAACCAACAAGGTGAAAATGTGGATAGCAAAGTAAACTATGATCTCTCTCTCCAGATCTTTACCCACCATATAATATGCTCTCTCTTGCTCTCTCTCTCTCTTTCCATTTCTCTCTCTCTCACTCTATACATGTATACATATATATAATATATGTGTGTGTGTATACACACACACACACACACACACATATACATACACATGTATATGTATGTGTAAATACGTTCATTTCTCCTGCTACAAGGTACGGTGAAAAGGGGACTGACTCCAGCATCAGAGGACCTATATTTCCATCTGCACTGTTAGGCTTATTACTTATGTGACCTTGGACAAATCACTTAACTTCCCTGGGCTACTGTTCATTGCCTCATCTGTAAAATGAGGAAGGAGGGGTTGAACTACATTTAGGGCTCTGAGGTGTCTTCCAGCTCAGCTATGAATGATCCTAGGATCAGGTTTCTCTTAAGTCAAGTTTGAATGTTATCAGTCCTCCATTTCTTAATAACCTTTTCCTCTCACTGGAAAGGTATAAGCAACAATCCTTCCCCTACTCATAATCTTCTCTTCCAGCTCAGTTATCATGTTATTTTGATTTGCCAAACAATTCCCTTATAAGCATTGTGCTTTAATAATGCCATAGTTGTTGTAGAAATCCTTTTTTGGGGGGGGGGGTGGAGAAGGGAAGATGTTTTCCAAAAAGAAGATAACATGTACCTATTGTCATTTGCTTATTTGAAAGGAGATATTTGACTAGTTTTTATGCTAAGATACCAAAAGTTAAGTCAAGTCAACAAGCATTAGTTAAATACTATGTGCTATTATTAGTGATTTAGAGCATTTTAAAAGTATAACTATTATTGAATTTCTTCCTCTGAAAATTGCCTGTTTATATCCTTTGACCATTTATCCAATTACAGGATGGCTCTTTTTTTTTTTTACTTTTTTGTGAGGCAATTGGGGTTAAGTGACTTGCCCAGGGTCACAGAGCTAGTCAAGTATCTGAGGTGGGATTTGAACTCAGGTCCTCCTGACTCCAAGGTCAGACCTCTATCCACTGCGCCACCTAGCTGCCCCAAGAATGGCTCATTTCCTTGTAAATTTGATTCATTTTTTTTTATCTACCTTAGAAATAAAACCTTTATCAGAGAAACTTGTTACAAAGATTTTTTCCCAGCTTCCTGCTTTTCTTCTAATTTTAGCTGCATTGGTTTTGTTTGTGCAAAATCTTTTTAATTTTATTTAATCAAAATTATCTGTTTTGCCTCCTGTGAACCTTTCTAGCTCTTGTTTGGTCATGAATTCTTCCCCTATCCATAAATCTTCCATGTTCCTCTAATTTGCTTATAATGTCATCCTTTATGTTTAAATCACTTGCCCATTTTGAGCTTATCTTGGTATACAATGAGATGTTGGTCTCTACCTAGTTTCTGTCATACTACTTTCCAGTTTTCTCAATAGTTTTTATTGAAAGGAGAATTCTTGCTCCAAAAGCTGAAATCTTTGAGTTTATCAAACATTAGCTTACTTTGCTCATTTATTTGCTTTTGAAAAACTGTATGCTTGATCTGTTCCACTGATCAATCCTTCTGTTTCTCACCCAGTACCAAAGGCATGGTTTTGATGACTACAGTTTTATAGTATAGATTGGTCTGATACTACTAGACCCCCTTCCTTTTCATTTTTCTTAAGATGGCTTTCTAGCCACTATGCTAAGGGAATATTTATTTACTTTTATATACCAAATGTAGTAGGAATTTGGGTTTCCTACTTGAAGAACACATGTTGGATCTATATTCATGTTTTTTACTCTCTTGACAGTTCAACCAAAATTTGTTGGTGAAATATCTATTGAAAATGTAGATGCCACAGAGGCAACATTGAGATGGCAAATTATTCCCAATCAAAAAAACCTCACTTTTTTGTGTCAGATTGAAGTCTACGATAATGAAAAAGGAATAGAGGTAAGAGATGGTCCTTGGCTCATGGAATTGAACTGTTAAAAGTTATTTAGACTTTTCCTCTTGACCTCTGGTATCAAAGGATATATGGTGTGGCAGGATCTCCACTGAAAAGCCTCTGTAATTAATTTCTCATAGTTGAGAGATTTCAGTCCCAATCAGGATAGGTCTGATCAGAGTTGTAACTGGGAACTTTTGTGTCAGGGTCATGGATCAGAAAATGCCCGTGGGGCAAAGGCAATAAATGGCGCCTTATTTCTTTGCCAGTGAGAAGGGCAAGACATTGGTTTATGGAGGGAAGACAGAGATCTTGGGACCCTGATAGGAAGGCACTTTGGGGGATGGTGAGGACAAGGTGCAGGGGAAATTCACCCCAGGATGACATCTGTCAGTTTTCTATTTTTAATAATTATAATTGCTAACTGGGTGCTAAGTTCTATAGCTTCAATGATACCAAAGGACCAAAAGTGCTGTCAAGATACTCTAAATTTCATATCCTAGGACAAGACCCCAGTTATCCTGCCTTAGCTATGGCTCTGGATCTAGCTTCAGCTTTAGGAAAATGCATATTCACATAAGCTTTGTTCTTCTTTGATTTACCAGTACAACACTTCCAACTCTGAATTCACTTTAAGTGGATTGCAACCTTATACAGCACATTCAGTTCGAGTACGCTGCTGCATAGCCTCCCACTTTTGGAAATGGAGTGAATGGAACAGCAAAAACTTCACCACAAAGGAAGACAGTAAGTTTGATCCATTAGCATGCAACTCCAAGACATTTGTTGCTTGAGACTTGCGTGCAAGCTCGTGGTACTACCTAAAACTTAAATAATGAGAGGAAAGCATTAGGGTGTTGTGGTCTAATTGACATATTTCTAAAGACATTTCCTATATCAAATATGTATTTTTTTTTAAAATGAGGGGAGAAGTGGAGGGTAGAAACCCCCCCCCATGAGGAAATATCTTCAATCAATTCAGATCTATAGCTACTCTGCCACTTCCTGCTGCAGGGAACTGCCTGGGGCTGTGAGAAGCTGAATGACACTCTGGATCACATAGTCAGTAGGTGTCAGGCAGGACTTGAACCTAGGTCTTCTTGGCTCTGTGGATGGTTCTCTGTAGGCATTATGCAAAATGAATATTAATTCACTTTTACATAACATTTTGAGATTTGCAAAGCCCTTTCCTCATAACAGAAATAAGCAGTATAAAAGTTTTATATTCCCTTTTTACAGATGAAAACCTGTAGCACAGACAGTTGAGTGAAAAGTCATGCTTATTAAGTGCCTCTTTTTCAGTCACGTCCAACTCTTTGTGACCCTATTTGGGGTTTTCTTAGCAAAGATACTGGAGTGGTTTGCTATTTCCTTCTCCAGCTCATTTTATAAATGAGGAAACCGAGGCAAACAGGGTGAAGTGACTTACCTAGGGTCATACAGCTAGTGAATGTCTGAGGCCACATTTGAACTCAGAAATATGAGTTTTTCTGACTTCAGGCCCACCACTTTATCCACTGTGCCACCTAGTTACCCCATATTAAGAGCCTACTATATACCATATATGGTGCTGGAGATGCAGATAATAAAAATAAAACAACCCCTGCCCACAAGAAACTTACATTCTTTTTTTTTTAAATTAATTTTTAGTTTTCAGCTTACGTTCTAACAGAGAAAGACAACAGAGGGGTGGTGACCAGGGAGGATGATTATGCTCTGTGATGTCACTTGCAGGGCTAGTATATACAATTAGAAAGCAATTGATTGGCATGGATTTTCTAGGAACAGTAATATGCATGTGATGACTGTTCCCAGAGCTAGGAAGAGGAAAGGGGCAAAATCCCTGGCCAGAGGAGCAACGGGGGTGGCTGTGGGTGAGGCTAGTTAAGGGTAATGAAGGCTCCCTAGCCAGCACTTAAACTCTGATCTTCTACTTCTTTCTCTGCTACATCACACTTGACTCTCAGTGTAAGTTGTAGCTAAAGATGGATGCACTCCCTGAGATGTTAATGAACACAGGGGCTTTCTTTTCTTTCTTGCCCTTGATTGGATCCTTAAGGCTTCTCTGGTTGCTTCTGTTGCTTTGAGTGTTTTTGGAACCAACAGCCATTTATTTATTGGGTATATAAGGAATAATAGAAGCTGAAAAATAGGAACCCCATTAGCAGTTCCCTGTGGTACCACTTTAGGTTGTGAATGTTCAGAATCTCTCCTGTTACTATCAAAGCCTTGATACCAATCCCCGTAACAGCCAGATAACTTTCCCCAGGATGATGACTAATAAATGGAACATTTCCTTAGCAGTGACCCTATCCCACCCAAATAATCATAGAATCAAAGATCTTAGAGCTTGCTTTAGTCCAGCCTCTCAGGTAAGGTAGTGTATTTCCATTTCATCGGATGTGGCTCAGACAAAAATAATTAGTGATTTACTTAGGGTCATGTACTATAGCCTGTAACCTAAAGGGAAAGCAAGTCCTGGGTGTCCTTCTTCCTAGTACAGTTTATTAGAAACATTGTAAGAAGAAAGGAGAGTTAGTGATATTTTTTTTCAAGTTGGTAGATCTCTTGATTTTCTGTCACAGGAGATCATTTTAATAAAAGATTATTGAGCCATTTACAAAGTACTAAACAAAGCAAAGAACTTATAACTGGGTTTTTTTCCTCATCCGTTGAATTTTTTAAAAATCTCAGATAGACAGAGATTTCATTCTTGTTTTCTAGGCACTTTACAGATGCATGCTCTGAGGTTTATAACTTCCAAAAATGAAACTCAAAGTGCAGGTTTTGTTTGGAGCTAAAAGAATTGATTTCTCATGCTTACGTAGTCAGCCACAGGTGGAGTAGTTTTTTTTTTAATACTAATTTCACTGCGAAGATTGTGAAATTTGGACAGGGATGCAGATAACAAGAGCAGAGGACTTTTCAGCTCTGACCCCTCCTGGCTTCCCATTAAGCATCTGTACAGTGTCTTTGAGGCCAATATGCACCTTTTCTACTTTTAGACATCAAGGAAAGGAACAATGGTGGTCTGCCACCCTTAAGGATTCTGGCATCATGGGAATTTATCTGACTTACTTTCTGCAGATTATCCAACCCTATTCAATAAATTCAATTTCATTCACTAAACATTAAGAACCTACTATGATTAAGGCATTGTGTGGGGTTCTAGGAATACAAAGGCAAAAACAAAGCAGCACCTACCTATATTTATGGAGTTTACATTCTTTCTTCTAAAGAAAAAAAAACTTTATTGATGTCTTTTGTTTTTACCCCACTATCATTTCCAGATATACACACCCTCTCGTTCCATTATTCCCCCTGACACACACACACCCCCCAATTGAATCCTTTCTCATAAGAAAAAAAAAACAATACATTGTATTTGACAATGTATGTAACATTCCGCCCTCCTATCTTCCCACCTCTTTGAGGAGAGGGAAGTGTTTCATTACCTATTCTCCAGACCATTATTGGTTTTCCATTCATTCAAGAGTTCATCTTTTTCTGGAGATTTTTTTCATTTTCATCATTGTAGTCATTGTTTATATTCTTCTCCCATTTCTTCTTATTTCACTTTATGTTAGTTGATACAAATCTTTCCCTGTTTCTCTGAATTCCGTACATTGATCAATTCTTACTACACATTAATATTTCATTCCATTCATTTTCCCACTTTGTTTAGACATTGCCTAGTTGATGGGCAACTAGCTTGCTTCTAATTCTTTGTTATGACAAAAAGTACTGATAAGAATTTTTATCTATATTGGAACTTCATGTCTTTGACAGAAATTTACACTCTTCAGAAGCACAAATCCTTAAGGTTAATTCCAGTTGTCATTTAAGTTGTAAAACCTAATATCTACAATGGACCTTAGAGGTCATTTAGTCCAAGCTCCTCATTTTATAACTGAAAAAAAAAAAACTACCCTGCTCCATTCCCTTGATTCTTGAAAACCATGTTCTCAGCTGAGAATGAGGGCAGTGCCATTGGAATTTCAAAAGTGTTTATAGCCCATTGATTGTGACTTTTTCCTCTGAGATCAGAGTAAAGGAGGAGAGTTGGGTTTTAGTCGGGGATGATACAGAGTTGATTTGGAAGGTAAAGTTGGTGAGAAGAGGGAACTCAAAATGGATTGCTTTGATTTTCTCACTGAAGTATTTGGTGAGGTTCACTGCTAAGATATGACGAAGGGGACAGGATAGGTGGCTTGAAGAGAGAAAAGATTTGGTATAAATGCTGATGGTACTGAGGTAATCAAGGAAGTGTGCAGCAGTCAAAAATCAGTTGAGACTTTATAGTAGAAATTTTAATGGATCCAATTAGAATGTTGTTGGGTTTGTTTGTTTTCCCCCTCTCCTCCTTCAGTGTTCAGCAGCATACATAGATGAGCAGAGAAATTGGATGGTAGGAGGTTGGACAAAATTTCCTTTTCTGAACTAGAAATAGCCTGAATGTCTTGCTATGTGTACCCGGTATAACCTGCAAACTTCTTTGGTTTATTTCAGCTCCCTCAGGGGCTCTCAATATCTGGAGAATTGTGGAACCAGTTTCAGGAGGATACAATGTGAAAATATTCTGGAAGGTAAGTTGTCTTCCACTCAGGTTTCCAAATGCTTTCTGGACAGCTTCCCCTGGATGTTCCATGGGTACTCTAAGGTTAACATATATGAAACTTAATTCATCATTTTTTCTCCAGAACCAGTCCCTTTTCCTGACTTTCTTATTTACTATCAAAAGTATCCCCATTTTTCCCAGTGCTTGTAACTCCAGTGACATCTTTGACTCTCTGCCCACTTCACCTCCACCCCTGCAATATTCAATCACTTACCAAGTTGTGTTTCTTCATTATCTCTCACATCTGTTCCCTTCTTACCTTTGTCACTACCAGTACCCTAGATATCCTCTTAGTATGCCTAGACTGCTGCAATAGCCTCTTAGCAGTTCTCTCATTCTAGTTATTTCCCTCCTTTAGATCACCCTAGATTAATCTTCCAGATGGACAGTTTTGATCATTTCATTCTCCCAACTCATTGCAGTACTGGGGGAAAAAGGACAGAATTTGGAGTCAGATGTCCTGGGTTCAAATCTCAGCTCTGCTCCTTACCACCTCTGTGATCTTGGGCAAATTACTTCTCCTTTCTGGACCTTAGTTACTCATTCACAAAAAGGAAGACCAGGTGGTCCACTGGACCAGGTGACCTCTAACACCTCTTCTGCCTCTAAATCTATGCCCTTATGAATAATATATCCTTGCTAAGGACAATAAAATAGGATTCTAAAAGATACATTGGAGGTAAGAAGATCAAAGAAGGGCTACCCCTGTTGTTCAGATTAAGTGAGATGATAACAGACAGTGAAAAAAGAAAACTGCTCAATAATGTTTTTATTCTTTCTCTGCCAAGGAGGATGGCACCAGAAAGCACAGATAAATGAGGAGGTAGGAGGACATAACTAAACTTCCTTCAATGAGTTTAAATCACTAGGTCCGAATAAACTACACACCAGAGTTCTGAAAGAACAAATGGATATGGTAGCTGAATTGCCATTGGTAATCTATGAAAAGTCATGGATGAGGGAAGAGATACAAGAATGGAAAATGTGTTGCTGTTGTTGTTTTCAAAAAACAGAAGAAAGGCATTTTTATATTATAGACTAGTGAACTTGGTTTTAATTGTTGGCAAAATTAAATCATTGAAGGCAAAGTTTGTGAGCATTTAGAAAGGGAAGCAGCAATCACTAAGAGCCAGAGTATCTTTTTTTTTTCCCTTTCCACATGGATGTTTAATGACGGAAAAGAACAAGTCCACAGCAGAGAAGAATTAATGATTAATTATCAGTAAGGATCTTATAAAGGACTCTAGGGTAAAGGAGGACCTTTTATCCTTTGCTTTAAGTAAGGTATATTGCTTTCATTGAAAACAGGGATGGCTATAAATGAGTGAATATGTATTTAATTTGTTGTGAGTGTGCTTGAATTTACAAGAAAAATCAAAACAACTAAGTAAGTTCCTGAAATGGCACACATAAGCCAGACAGCTATAAGCCAGGGTCTTATTCAAACTCATTTGTGATTATCCTTTATGATAGAAGGGATATACTTCATGCATTTTCTAATTATTTTCCACTATAAGCAATCTGGAATAGAGAGATTCAGTCCAAGATTATCCATCTAGCTATCTAATCTAATCTAACTGAATACTGATCTTTATTCTTTTTTTAATATTTTATTTTTCCCCAATAGCATGTTAAAACAATTTTTTTTAAGTTTGAGTTCCAAATTCTATCCTTCCCTTCCTCCCTCCCCTCCTTTCCTGATCTTTCCTCTTCCTGGAAGCCTTTCCAATACTTGAAGGCAGCTACCATGTCTCTTTACCACCTCCCTTCCCACTCCATTCCAGCCCTCTACCAAGCCCTTTCTGTCTAGGTTAAAGATTCCAAGTTTCCAATCAGCTCTACATGGCTTGCGTTGCAGTAACCATTCAGGTCACTCTCTTTTGGAAGTACTCCAACTTGTCAACGTCCTTCCTAAAAGGAGGCTTTCAGAAGTGAGACTATTATTTCTTTTATTTTGTACACACAAAGACTGCTAGAAACCTGTGAGAGAAACCAAGCCAGAGGCCATGGAAGGCACAGCACAAGAAGCTCATGCACACAGCAGAAAAAAGGTCTCCCGAAGCCCAATCCCTAGCCATATCAAGAGACAGGGCCTGACCAACACCCAGGCAGTCCTAGTCCAACTCAGAGCCCAGGCAGCTAACCTAGCACCTAGGAAGAAAAAACACCTGAGGTTTTGCAGGAAGCCTGCTCCCAGTGATTCGACAACATCTGACAACAGTAAGGGTCTAAGTAGAGCCAACCAAGGGCTTAGACTATGAAATGAAGAGGAGATCAGGGGGCCAAGACCACAAACGTAAGTTGAGCCACTGGAAAACTTATCCCAAACCTAGGAGGGCAGAGGACAGGGCCCCATTTTAGCTACCCCATCCAGAATCAAGCAAGGCCTATCTACAGTATCCAAGACTACAGTGGAGAGCAGCATCTGACCCAAGCATAAAGATTTAATCTGGAAACCAAGCCTGGGGAAATGAGTAAGCAAAAGAAAATGCTTAACACAATGAAGAAATACTATGGATTTAGAGAAGACAAAGAGGTAAAGCTAGGTGATGGCCTCATGTTGTCCCAAGTCTCTATTTTTTGCTCCTTCCTTGCCCTTACCATATACAGACATACTTCATTGGATTGGGCTGCACTTTATTGCATTTCACAGATATTGCAAGGTTTTTACAAACCGAAGGTTTGTGGCAACCCTGCATTGGGCAAGTCTATTGGCCCCATTTTTCCAACAGCATGTGCTCACGTCATGTCTCTGTGTCACATTTTTGTAATTCTCACAATATTTCAAACTTTTTCATTATTATTATGACTGTTATGATGATCTGTGATCAGTGATCTTTGATGTTACTCCTGTAATTGTTTTGGAGCACCACAAACTTTGCCCATTTAAGACAGCAGACTTAATCGATAAATGTTGTGGGTATTCTGACTGCTCCACCTACTGACTATTCCCTCATCTCTGTCCCTCTCCTTGGGCCTTATTCCCTAAGAAACAACAGTATTGATATTAGGCCAATTAATAACTCTACAATGGCTTCTAAGTGTTCAAGTGAAAGGAAGAGTCAATTGATGTGGCAAATTTCACTGTTGCCTTATTTTAAGAAATTGCCATAGTCATCCCAAGGCAAGATCCTCCACCAGCAAAAAAATAACTACTCACTGAAGGCTCAGATGATGGTGAACATTTTTTAGCAATAAAGCATTTTTTTAATTAAGGTACTACTGTACACTTAATATACTGGAATATAGTGTAAAACTAATTTTGATATGCACTGGGAAACAAAAAAAATTTAATTTGCTTTACTGCAGTGGTCTGAAACCAAATATACATTATCTCCCAGGTATGCCTGTAGATTAGAAAGCTGAGAAGCAGAAATCATAGTATCTTAAGAGTTGAAAGAGACCCTAGAATTATCTAATCTAACCTCCCATCCAAGAGGGAATCTTATCTACTACATCTTTGACATAGAAGGTCATTCAGTTTCTGCTGAAATATCTTGCAAGGCAGCCCATATCCTTGTGGGACAGCTATCGTTATTTTTAAAAAATTCTTTACTGAGCAGAGATTATCCCAGAGCAAATCTATTCCCTTGTAGTCAAAAGTTTGAAAACAACCACGAGGTCAACCAATCTCTTCCACATGCTAAGAATCTCTGGTTAATTCAAAACTCTTCCTCATATAACATTGTTTCTAGAATTCTGACCATCCTGGCCACCCCTCCATCTGGTTGAACTCTGGTCATAAAACCACAGACCTTTTGAACTGGAAAGGATATCAGAGGCCAACTAATCCAATCCCCTCATTTTACAGACTAAGAAACTGAGGCCTAAAAAAAGTAGAAATGACTTTCCAGGATCATAGTGTGAGAAGGCACAAATTCAGCTCTTCTGATTCCAAGTCCAATGCTCTTACACCTTCTTCTTCCCAGTATTCCTGTTTTTCACTTGGCTGCCAGTTCTCAGATCAAAATAAGTGACTTATGACATAGTTTAGAAAACTATGCTCTGAATATATACAATGTAAACAGAAAGCACAACACAAAAAAGCAAAATTAAACACTGTGAATTTATAGTGACAGAGCTTGGCCAAGGAAAATAGGTGGGAGAATGCATCTCCCTTCACTGCAGAGGTGGAGAACAATGGATACGGAATATTGCACAGCATGTACTGCCAGACTCACTCAATATGTTCGTTAGTTTTGCTGTACTGATTTTTCCCCCATTAAAAAATATCTTTATTAGGTGTGGCTTGCTGGGTGGATGGGGGAGGATATTTTCAGAAATGAATGCAAAGTAAAAACAGAAGTATCAATGAAAATCATAAATATACAAACATATATTTGTATGTATGTGTGTATGTGATCTGGAAATATTTGAAATCTCTAAGGAGAAAAAAAATTTTTTTAGATGGTATGGCCTGTATAGTGAAGATCATTTTGAAATGGTTCTCAATATTTCTTTTCAGCCACTACCAACATTTCAAGCTAATGGAAAAATCTTGAATTATAGCATAGCTATGGAAACACTGGGGAAGGTGCCTAAGGTGGACATCTTTTTTTCTGACTCTGACAGTAACAGTACCGAAAAAATTATTGATGAACAGCCCTATCAAATCAGTGTTGCAGCCATCAATAGTGCTGGATCGTCTATTCCTTCAGTCATTGTGGTCTCTGGAAATACTGAAAAAAGTGAGTACATATCCTTTTTTAAAAAATCTCACAGAAAGTTATGATGATATCTATAGCCTTTGATTTTTACATAAAATGTTCTCTCAAATTGAAGAGGTAAAGAAAATTATTGTTAATTGTTTCTCTAACAACAACAACAAAGTTGTTAGTTGCTTCTTATCTTAGGTGGACCTTCTCATGGGTAGCAGGTTCAATTTTATTTCCATTTGGGAACATTTGTGCATATATTTACAGAGTACTTTGTAAGACACTGAAATGGAATAGCACAAAGTCTTTGCCCTCAAAGAACTTCCCCTTTAGTAAAAGGTTGAGATACATATACAAGAAATATATGGAGTCACTCACATGCTTATTGCCAGCCCTCCTATATCCCCATCACTGACTCTCTCTGTAGCTCTTTTCCCCTCAACCTTCCTCAAGCATGCAGATCAAGGTTGGGTGGGGGAGATGGGGCTACAAATCACTACCCTCAGGATCCTTGTGGGTAACTATACCTACAAACGCTATTGCTCGAGCACCCAATGGCATATTTCCTATTTTAAAAAATAAAAAAAAATAGTCACCAATACTTATTAACCTTTATCAAAACATTTACTGAAAATGCAAAGACATAATATTTATATAACCTTGTGTCCATACACCTCAATCACATTCTTCCATCAATGCACTTAGTGTCCTTGGGGAGAGTGGGCATACATTAAAAGTACTAGAGTAGTAAAGCAGACATGTAGGAAATAAGACAGGGTAATTTAAAACTATGGAACTGTAGACTTCTGTATCTACTTTGTATCTTGGGAACTGTCCATAAAAGTTCCTCAAGGAGTGTGGCTTCTGTGTGAAACAGATACTTCCACAGTTGATTTTGTCCTCAGGGCCAAGCACGACAAATCTGATCCCTCAAATTATCTTTCTAACTACTTTTCTTACATGATTTGACAAAGATCTAGTGCTCTTCAGACCAGCACACAGAATCAGAGACCATCTTTCCTTTATCATTATATTCCTCTTGAATGGGGGACAGTCTTTCATTGCTGGATTTCAGTCACGTGAAGTGGGTCACATCCTACTTGACTGCTAGAAGTCATTCAAACTGGACAGGACATAAGAGAATGGAAGTGGGAGAACCCAGAACATCCTGAAGTATGGAAAGCTTAGCTGGTCCTGGAGGAGACAAATGTTCCATGACAAGGAGTGGTCTCCTTTTGAGAGAGGGCTGAGATGTGGAATTCATTCATACTGTTGTATCTTAAAGGAGGCGCTTGGATGGGAAGGGGGAACAGACTAATTGCCAGAGAGTGGCAATCAATAGTCTTATCTGTTCATAAGAGGAAGTGTGGTACAGTGGAAAGAGGATTGGTTCTCAAGTCAGAAGTTCTATTCAAATCCTACTTCTGATGCTTACTACTCTGTAGTAAGGACAAGTCACTTGACCTCCCAGACCTCAGTTTCTTTATCTGTAATGTAGCACCCCTTCTGAACATACTCCCCCACTTCCTACGCACATTTGTGGATTAGTTCTCCAGAAGATGGCTGACTACTATGTCCCTTCACAGTTCTAGGGGTATCACTATGGGGTTTGGTTTCTGGTACTATTGATCTCAAGCCCCAATCCTGTCTGCTTCCCTCCCCCCTAATATTGATTAACCAATTGATATTGATGAGTTTAGTGAGAAAGACATAGCAGGACTGAAGTTACAAAAAACATCTCCCAATCCAGGGGCATATTCTTGGTCCTTGGAAAGAATGGGCTCAAATTTAAGACACAGTGGTACTGAGGCACACATGGAGAGGACACAGACAGAGGGATATACTTTGCAACTTCTGTCCACAGGAGTTCTTGTGCAGTTCCCACCAAATTTGCTTCTGGGTGTAGTGTTGCTGCCACTCCCTTGTTCAGCTGGGCTAGCTCTTTGCAGGATGCATTGTCTTAATTCGCTGCTGGGCTCGGTCAAGCAGGTCACTTCTCAGAACTGGCTCCTCGCTGACTCCAACTACTGCTGACTCTAGCTGTCTCAGCTCCTGACTCTGGTTGCTAAGGGTGGCTTGTGGCTCTTCCAACCTTTCAAAGGTCAGAAGGTTACCTGGGCTGTTCCATCTCCAGGTACCCATTCGCCTATGATCAGGAAAGAATAAACACAAAAGAAATAAAAGAGACAAATGCACCGTGTATTCAGGGACACTTTTAGGCGCCTGAGTGGAAACTAGGGCAACTTGTCCTTCAGCCACCTGGTGGCTGATAAGCAATCTTCCTCACTTGAAAGCCACAAGGGAAGGGATAAGTGCAGAAAAGGGGCCCAAGGAGGGTTATATTGATTCTTTTCTATGGAAAATTAATTCTGGCTTTGTCCTCAGTCCTTCTAGCTCTGGAAGAAAGACAATTATAGAACTTATGATCATCATCTAACACCAATCCTTCAGTCATTCATAGTCAGAAGGAGACCCACCGAGCCTTCACATTTTGGGTTAGCAACAGCAAGAAATATTACATGTACTCAAATGACCGAACCCTTCAGTGCCTAGTTGTCCATCACATTACCACTAAGGGGCTGGACTGGATGGCTTCAAGGTCCCTGAAGCTTTAAAGCAACTAAATCCAGCCTCAGATACTTACTAGCTGCTGATCTTAGCAAGTCATTTAATTGCTACTTGCCTCAGTTTTCTCAACTGTAAAATGGAGATAGCTAATTCCCAGGAGTTAGTTAGCACCTAACTTATTCCAGGGCTGTTGTGAGAGTGAAATGAGATAATATTTGTAAAGCACTTAGCACAGTGCCTGGTAAATAGTAGGTATTATATAAATGCTAGCTCTCTGTCTGTGCACATATACGATCTTCACATATAGACATATAACTTCATATATAGATATATGTTACAACAGTCTCTAATTCACTTTATTACCCATATATTAATCCATGAGATGGCACATAGATATCTGATGCCACAAATATCAATTCTGCCCTTCTTTCTAGTCGTCTTTTGTGAATTACCAGATATATCTATTGCTAGTCTTCTTTCCATGTCATATCCATTCCTTTCTTACCTGGCTTGGTCATTGCACCTCTGCACGTCACTCTGTCCCCTTTCAGTATGAAGTCCCTCCCAATCAGATCAGCAAATCTCTCAGGCAGACATGTTCTCAGCCCCAAAGTCTACATTCTTGTATTTTAAACCATGGTCCGGAAGGCCACATCCTATCCTCCATTGCATCCTGAGATGACACTGAGGGTTTATAGATTAAGGGCCAGATCTAGGTCCTTAGAAGTTATCTTGTCCAACCCCTTTTACAGATGAGGCCCACAGAGGTCAAGTGATCCTTCTGTTAGTCAGTATTTAGTAAGCACCTACTGTATGCCAGGCATTGTGCTAAGTGCTGGGGATACAAGAAGTCCTTGTTCTTAGGAAACTCATGACCTAATGGGGGAGAAAATAACAAGCAAACGAATATGTACAAACAAGCTATATATGTGATAAATAGGAAGTGATTAAGAAAGGAAAGCCACTAGAGTTAAGAGGAGTTGAGGAAGGCTTCCTAGAAGGTGGGGTTTTAGTTGGGACTTCAAAGAAGCCAGGGAAGCCAATAAGCAGAGATGAAGATCGTTTCCCAAAATCATTATCATCAACATCATCATTATCATCATTTATATAGCAATTTAAAGTTTGTAAAACACTTTACAAAGGTCTTGTTTTACTTTCACCATAACCCTGGGAGATATGTGCCATTATTATCCCTATTTTTCAGATGAGGAAACTGAGGCCAAGAGGTTATGTGACTTTCCCAGGGTCACAAAAGCTAATAAGTATCTAAGGCTCAATTTGAACTCAGGTCTTCCTGATTCCAGGTTCAGAGCTCTATCCGCCATGACCTTTCTCACATTCCTCACATAGATAGTAAGGAGAGAGCTGGGATTCAAACTCAGATCCTTTGATTCCAAATCCAATACCCTTTTCACTGCATCTTCCAAGTCAACAGTTCATTTCCTAAACTCTTCTCTTTCTTAAATTCCATCTGCAGTTGTAGAAGTGATAAGGGATATCTGAAGGCCTCCTAGGACTCTCCATGAGTCAGCTATGTGGTGAGAGAAAGAAGCACCCAAAAGTGATGGAGCTCATTTATAAGCCTCTTGATACCCCTGCTCACCATACATCAGGTTCCAAAGAACCCTAATGTCCTGGGGCCTGTGTATATATCAGAGACACCTCTCCCTCCTTAAATGTTTCTAGAGCCCTTTAGGCAAACTGCTTTACCTCTCTGGGCCTCGGTGCCTTGTCGTCTTCTCTCTTTTCTATCCATATCACATTTTACCTTGTTTTTGTACTAGAATTTGTTGTTGTCATTGTTCAGTCTTGTCTGACTCTTCAAGACCCCATTTGGGGTTTTCCTTGCAAAGATACTGCAGTGGTTTGCCATTTCCTTCTGTAGCTCATTTTACAGATGAGGAAATTGAGGCAAACAGGGTTAAGTGATTTGCCTAGGGTCACACAGCTAGTAAGTGTCTGAGGCCAGATTTGAACTCAGGAAGATGAATTTTCCTGACTCCAAGTCCAGCACTCTGTCCACTGCACTACCCAGCTGCCCCTCCCCCCTTTTTTACCTTTTATCATGCCTATTCATGTACATGACATGTGTATTTTCTTATCCCTACTATATTTATAACCTGAAGGCAAGGACTGTTGTCATTTACCATCTTTGTATCCTTAGTACCTGGCTCAGTGCCTTGCATGTAGTAAGCACTGAATGTTTTGTCAATTTGAATATTTGTACTTGGATTTGAAATTATACTTTAAAAGTTCGTTTTTCTGGGAATTTAAAGTGTACAGTTCATTTAAATTGAGGCAACGTTTTCTTCAAGGCATACAAAACATAAAAGAAGATAGAGTTAATGGCACAAGGGATGGAATATATCTGTCTTGGAAACCTGACTCAGAAGAAACTGAAAGCTACGTTGTGGATTGGTGTAACTATCCCTGGGACGCAATCTGTGATTTCCAATGGCAGAAGTTCGGTTCCAATATCACTAGTGCAATCATCCGATCTGGTAAGGGCAACCTTCTCCATGTTAATTAATGTCTGACTAGAGGAAGTACATTCCCTTGCTAAGTCTGCCCACATTCTAAGCCCATTAAACTAGAACTTCTGAGCTGCCTCCCAGTCACCTTGGTTTGGCTTTCAACCACTCAGGTAAAGTGCACGGTGAGTGTTTGATGTTCCCAATATCTTATTTTAGGGGAAATGTATGCACTATCACTTCTCTGAAAGTTGACCTCTCATAGGGAATGCCTGGACTGAATCTTGGGCTTTGTTTTCCCACAGCCCTATGAGGATGATTCTGAGATTCTTCAGGTAGGACATAGTATATGTGCATACTATTTAAAATGTACTTAATTCTTTTATAATGAGGTGATGTCCATCTATATGGACATAAGGTGGGCACTGGTGTTGCTGCTGTCCTCCTTTAGATAGAACATCTTGAGTTGCCAAGATGTGGACCACAGAGTATGGAGACAGAATGCTTTACCAAAACTAGGCTAAAATACCTTAAACTAGAGGAAAATAACATAGATAAATATCTCTATTTGTTTTTCAGTAATAATGAAAATGCTACAGCTATCATTAAAAATCTCCCTCTGCATCCACAGCTGCTTTTCAGTCTGGAGTGAGATATAACTTTAAAATTTACGGGTTGTCTACAAAGCATGAACCTTATTTACTAGCGAAGAAAACAGGATATACTCAGGAGTTGGGTAAGTTAGAAAGATTTACTAGTTCTTGTGTGACTAACATATTCAGAATGGATCTCCTGGAAGTGAAAGATTTCAACCTCTAAACCATCCTTGTCTCATTTCCCCAGCCTCCCAGTCAGATTATTTTTTTAAGGTGTTGTCAGTATATACTGATAAGATCCTGACTGTCCTGGGTCCATATTTTACAGCTGGTAATTCCAGCAATATTAACTAGTTAACATTAACTTCACAGGGCAGCTAGGTGGCACAGTGAATACAGAGCCCTGGGTCTGGAGTCAGGAAGACCTAAGTTCAAACCAGCCTCAGACACTTACTAGCTGTGTGATCCTGGACAAGTCACCCCCCCCAAAAAACTTTCTATTTGCCTCAGTTTCCTCATCTGTAAACTGGGGATAATAGTATAGCATCTATGGGCTGCTAGGTGGTACAGTCAATAAAGCACCAGGCCTAGAGTCAGGAAGACCTGAGTTCAAATACAGCCTCAGACTGACCCTAGGTCACTTCACCCTGTTCACCTCAGTTTCCTCATCTGTAATGTGAACTGGAGAAGGAAATGGCAAACCACTCTCCAGTATCTTTACCAAGAAAACCCCAAATGAGTTCATGAAGAGTAGGACATGATCGAACAACAATCAGACCAAGGCATCCTTCAGACAGAAAAGGCCCTGGCCCTTTCCACATCCATTGCCTAACTTCATACTGCTATTATCTAGAAGATCTTTTCCCTTTGACTTTTTCTTCAACTTCTTCACTGGACGTCCTGTATCAGCTAGATCACATTCACAAAACAACATGATATAGTAGGGAAAACACTAGACTTGACCTCACTAACTTGCTGTGTGACTTATGGCAGTCACTTCATTATGCTGGACCTCAGTTTCCCTATCTGTAAAATGAAGAGGTTAGACTAGATTATCTCTAAGGAGCCTCTTCTAGCTCTAAATCCTGTTTCTAAGTCCACTGATGATTCCTCTACTCTACAGCTGCCTCTCATTTAGTTTGGCATAGGTACACACACACACACACACACACACACACACACACACACACACACACACGCTTCAAGGTCTTTTAGTTATCTCTAGAAACATTGTGGCATAGTGGATAGAATTCTGAAATAAATGCATCAGAAAGACTTGGGTTCAGATCCTGACTGGGATACTTATTAGCTGCAAGACTGTGACCAAATCATGTCACTTCTTTCAGCCTCTATTTCTTCATCTGTAAAGGGGGGATATTTATAGCAGCAACTTCACAAGAAAGAATGTACATATAGGATTTAACAACCTTAAAAGCATTATTTAAACATTACCTATTTTAATTCATTTTGTTTAAAATTTCATTACGTTTGTTCATGTAAAATGAGTGAAACGAAAGTATTCTAAAAAATCTAAAAAGGAAGAAACTTTTTCCCCCCACCAACTTCTTTTTCTAGCACTTGATTGCAAACCAGAGGTGACTGTTGACAATTTGGCTTCTACTTCATTGACCTTGAATTGGAAGGATAATTGCACGGATGAGCCGCAGTATGGCTTCTTTAAAGGGTACCATATTTATAAGAAACCTGAAGTGGAGGAGCCCTGCGACTCAGAAACAGAAAAGCAAGTTTTTTCAGGTAATATTTACTTGGACATGGAAAAGCTATCACCTCATTTTTTAATATATGAAAAATATTTGTCAGTTTAGAATGTGTCTTTTGATAGTGCCTCAGGTGAAGTTTGTCTTTGTACCATCTGTTAGAAAATAACTTAGTAATGGCCAAAGTTCTTAAGGATATCAAAGCTGCTTGTCTTTACAATGTTTGTATAGTATAAGTTGTTCCCCCAGTTCTGCTCACTTCATTCTGTATCAGTTTGTACAAGTATTCCCACATTTCTCTGAACCCATCTCTTTTCATCATTTCTTACATGCAATAACATTCCAGTACCATACTTGGTTCAGCTGTAACCCAGTTGAGGGGCACTAAGTTTCCACTTCTTTGTCACCAGCTACTCTAACCATGATGAAAAAGATATGATAGATTCAAGATACAGAATGAGACATCAGTTTTTGGATATGGGAATTTTTTTTGCT